AAAATAGTAAAATTGTATATATTGATTAAAAAAATCAAAATAAGAAAAATCAGAAGATTTATGTTCCATTTAGAATTGTTATTATAAGATATATTTTAAAATAAATTATCATCTAAAAATATATATTAGATATTAAAAACATATTTATATCATAAATAAATTAAACTGGATTTTTATAAAATTTAACATATTTATTTTTATATTTTTAATAGTGTTAAAAAGATGGACATTTAAAATAAAATTTATAAAATTTAACATTGTAAATTATTCAATAATATGTGATCTGATAACTCAAAAATTAAGTTATAAAATGATAATTATATTTATTTATATACTCTAACACATATAACATACAAGATAAATTCATAAGTTTGTTGAAAGATAAATTTATATTCTAGTCACGATTTTGAAATTATATAAAGAAAAAAAAAATCGTGTACCTCATGTTAAAGGAAGTATATATAAAATTGTTAATAAAATATAAGTTCATTAAGATAATATACATAATACTTCAAAAAAAAAACTTTTAAATTTTAATAAAAAAAATTGTCTTGTAGATTGCGACGGTTTACTATATAGTAAACTGTCGCAATGCTGAAAATTTTGCGATGGTTTATGAATAACTATCGCAATGTTAAAAAAAATTTGCGACGGTATATGATTAACTGTCACAATGTTAAACAAATTTTGCGACGGTTTACAATAAATCGTCGCAATGTTGAATAATTTTGCGACGGTTTATGATAAACCGTCCCAATGTTAAACAAATTTTGCGACGGTTTACGATAAACCGTCGCAATGTTGAACAATTTTGTGATGGTTTTGAAAAACTGTCGTATGAAGGGTCGCAATTTAACATTTTCCTTGTAGAAGCTTCTCTTAATTTTCTCATGATTTTTAACACTCACCACTATTACTCATAAATGTTATTTTCCTATCTTAAGCTTTTATGACCTTGTGCATTATAAACACAATCTTTAGAATTATACATATGCTATCAAGTTGAGGTCACACACAACAAAAAAACTTACATTGAAACAATGTCAAATGGTGCCCAATAAGGCCTATCTTGCATCTGGTGCTAACGGAACATAGAGCACTACAAGTCTTCATGCTTAGCACTATAAATTTGTGGTTAGTGTGACAACAATTTCATGTAACCTGTAGAACAATGTGAAAAAATCACCCAAAAATCCTAAACCTCAAATTCCTTCTAATCTAATAGGTAAAGCCATCAATCAAATCCTATTACTAATCTATTAGACCACCAATTAACCTAAACATTCAAAAATTATAGAAAATATCACCAATTTTTATCAATCTTCACCCTACTCTATATATAGGGTTTCCTACAAGAATCTAAAGGTTTTTGTAGATTAACAATTTACATCAATTCATCCCCAATCTTCAATGCACATAACACAATACCAATCATGGAGAATAGAAGAATCATATTTATTAAGAATCATTCGAGTACAAGTAAAAGTTGGGGGTTCCAAATGCTCCCCTATAGAGTACAAAATACAAATCACAAGATTGGGAGTCAATCTCTCAACCCAACAAATATTTCACACCTTATAACGAAACTACTCCCTACTCCTTATCTTGATAAACACTAAATGAAGGACAAAGATCTTCAAGATGTGCTCTGATGACTTTTACGTTCTCCTTATAATAAGGAGTTCTTATGCCAAAGAGAAAAAGAGAGTGTGAGTTTTTAAAATATAAATAGTAATTAGCCCAAATCGCTTTTGAAAACTTTCCAACCAAACCTCCACCCCTTAGGTTAACAGGTCAAGCCTAGTCAAAACTCATCTCCTTCCTTTAATATTAGAACATTTAAACATTTAACCCTTAAAATAATTATCATATAATATAATTAATATAATTTTTAATTACAAAACCCCATCTTCTTTAATAAATCACATTTTTATTATTTTCAAAAAGCTTATCTGAGTTATACAAAAGCACACATAATTATTTTAAAAGTCTTTATATTATTTCATAAAACACCTTAAATTAATTAAAAATATATTTTATTATTTTTACAAATTTTGGGGTGTTACACACTATGTATCATCTCATCTATTTCATACTCTGTAACTTAGATATCATTCTCCCACCATAGTATTTGAGAGCAAAGACTATCGTCCAGCTCACCAGAGCACTTGCAGATTTAGAAAACATCAATATGAATCTTCCTATTATCCCACATTTTGTTTTCTTTCCTTCCTTTCTCTCTTTATTGTATTTTTTTTTATTAAAAAGTGTACAAATATAATTTCTCTTCTAGATTTCTAAGTTGTACCAGCATTTTTCTAAATGCACAAGGCTATATTGCGGCTCTTGTATAATGATCAAATTGCTTCTCCTAGAGAGAAAAATAACAGTATAGGAGGGGGAAAAGATCTTCATCTCATGATGCACCGAGCAACTCTTCTGATCATGAGCCATAAAAAATAAGGTAAAACAAAACAAGACAAATTAAATATGTACAACCAGAGAAAATTGAAATGCTTCATGTCTGCCACTAAAAATGCAAGAATTTTGGTGTCCACCACATTTTTAAATGCTGCCATACATATACTACCCCACATGAACATTGATAGAGCACAAACCAAAATAACCATGCAAAAGCTATGATGGCAAATCTGTAATTAAGGGAAACTCAAAGTGCAATAGCATATAGCAACTATTCCATGCCCACCTTTATTATATATAGCACACATTTGTTGCCACCTTCATCATATGCCAACAATATTCTCAAGTCTGAAACACACCTAGTCCTTACTCCTTAGTAACCCCCAAACATGCAAACCAAATCCATCCACAACACTCCAACATACATTCCTCCACCCATAAGGCCATCACCTCCGGTGCACCAAACCCCTTCTTTGCCACCAACCACAACCAAACCTCGTGCAATATCCATTTCTGCACCCACTACCCCTGTTGCCATACCAATTCCACCAACCATAGAGTCTGATGACCCTATGGCCGCTTATTACGACTACCAAGTTTTGTTCATTTCACAAAGATCCGAAACAACTCAACCCGTTAAATTAAGTACCGTGGACGGCGTGATCCCGGCCGATTTCCCGTCCGGCACGTACTATCTAACCGGACCGGGGCTTTTGTCGGACGATCACGGGTCCACGGTACACCCTCTAGATGGTCATGGTTATCTAAGGGCATTCACTTTTGATAATGTTACTAAGAGTGCAAAGTACATGGCTAAGTACATTAAGACGGAGGCTCATGTGGAAGAGCATGACCCGGAGACTAACAAGTGGAAATTTACACATAGAGGCCCATTTTCCGTATTGAAGGGTGGGAAAAAGGTTGGGAACACTAAGGTGATGAAAAATGTGGCTAACACTAGTGTTCTAAAGTGGGGGGAGAAGCTCCTGTGTATGTGGGAAGGTGGGGAACCGTATGAGATCCAAACAGGTACATTAGATACGATTGGACGCTACAACATCATGGACAGTGCTGATTCGGAAGATCACGATGAGAACAAAGGTGGTGGTGATGTTTGGGACGTAGCTGCCAACCTATTGAAACCCATATTATATGGTACGTATATTCATTCATATAATTTCTCATTCATTACAAGTACCTGGAGACCCTCCTTTTCCTATATACAATGAAAGAAGTGGATCGTGATTAAAGATAAAATATTTACATGATTCAAAATAATCTATCACTAAAATATATCATTAAGATCACAACAAAGTTCAAAGTTCAAATATAATCTTGGATTTATTACTTCAACCTTTTACCACTAGGTTGACTCGAATGGTTTCCATGATTCAAATTTAGTTACAAATATTTGTATTTATGTAATAATTGGTTATTTAAAAAAATTTATTTAAAGTATGTTTGGATAAATTTTCTAAAAATACTTAGAAAAGAAAATCAAATAAATTTTTTCATAAGTTAAAATTAAGTTATGCACGCATAAACTATAGTTCTATCTTATTATGTTCTTCAAAATCTTATTTTTAACTCATACATAAATAAGTTAGCTTTTAACTCAGAAAAAAAAAATATTTCAATTTTTCTATCTTAAAAACATTTCACAGTTAATTATAAGTTTATTCAAATAGACCCTATTTATATATAGTTAATTACATATTTTTGTGTTGCACCATATATGTTACTAATGTTATTTAAAGGATTAAAATGTACGTGAATGAAGTTAATAAGCAGAACCAAAAGTATGTGTTGTTATAGAGAACAAACTGCTTCCCCTTTCCTTCCCCATAGATGAATAGAAGAGTTTGAATCATCACGCTAAATGCATAAGACATGACAAAATGGGCACAATGAAAGTGAATGATTTTTCCATTTATTATATTAAAAGACACAAGAAAGGTGACCGGCCATACGGTGTGATAATGGTGTTGAATAATAGTAAGCAACTTGATACTTACTAAAAGAATATATTAAACAACTTGGGTGGAAATTGGTAGTTGGTTGGACATGCAGTACAAGTATGGAACTCTAATTAAGCAACTCATTATAGTGCTTCCAATATCTTTCCAACTAAATTTTAATCAAGTGAGGCTTAATGACACTTTCACTAGCAAATTTTTAGTGGCACACAAGGAATACGTTTCCAAGCTAAATGTTAGCTTGAGTACTTACAAGCCATGTGGCCACAAAAATAGTTTATTTTGAGGGTACTTATTCTACTTTCCCAAGGGGAAAATTAAATATATATATTTTTCCTGTCACTTTGTGCAATACTTTGATTAATTTACACAAGCTATGTAACATTGAGTTCCACTAATTGGAACTTCGTACAAAACAACATTCATAATCAAGTTATATAATATACAATAATATTAAAATATTTGATTTGTCTTTTATTTTATGGAATATATGTGCAGGAGTGTTTAAGATGCCCCCAAGGAGACTCTTGTCTCACTATAAGGTTGATTCCAGTAAAAACAGGCTACTAATTGTGTCATGCAATGCAGAAGACATGTTGCTTCCTCGCAGTAATTTTACATTTACCGGTAAGTACAAAGAATATTAAGAAATTATTTCAGTTTAGATAAATTTCTTAACTATAATATTTATTTATTTTCTTCTCATACAAATGTTTATTGAGAATTTTATTTAAACTGAATAATATAAAATTTCTTTTTCATTTATATTTATCTAGTTTTGATTTTGCAGTTAAATATTCTGACCTTTTTTTATATATATATTCTGCAGAATATGACTCAAATTTCAATGTAGTACAGAAGCAAAATTTCAAAATTCCAGATCACTTGATGATCCATGACTGGGCTTTCACGGATACCCACTACATAGTATTTGCCAATCGCATCAAACTTGATGTACTAGGTAAGAATTGATGCGTACGTGCACATCATTACCATTCGTTTAAGAAAGTGCAAATGTCACAAAGTAAATAATCATTTTCCTTATTGATATTATTCGATAAAAATTAGGTGGCAAACCTTTTTTTTTTTTTAATTTAAAATTGAATATAATAAGCAAGACTTACATCTACTGATCTTGTTTATATATTCAAAACAAAGCAGTAATAAAATCTTAAGCAATCACTTTCACTATACGACTAGCTCCAAGAGAGTATTACGTGCGCATGGGAACAAAATCATTAGGAAATGAACACTTATATGTCACTATTATAATAATTAATTTCTTAATTATTTATCTGCAGGATCAATGTCAGCAGTGTATGGGATGTCTCCAATGATATCAGCATTAAGAGTAAACCCAAGTAAGAGTACATCTCCAATATACTTGCTTCCTCGGTTTCCTTATAATGGCAAAGAGAGAGATTGGAGGGTACCAATTGAAGCACCTTCACAATTGTGGTTGCTCCATGTTGGAAATGCCTTTGAAGTTACACATGCTCATGGGAACTTTGACATTCAAATGCAAGCTACAGCTTGTTCTTACCAGTGGTTCAATTTCAGCAAGTTATTTGGTATGTATGGTTACTTTATTGTATCAATTCATATTATATAAGTATGTATATGTTTAAATACCGGTTTAAAATTATTTTTAATAGATAAATAATAAGTGTTTCAGTAATAAAAAATAAAAAAAAATTGTTTGTGTAATTTTGTTTTCAACCCAAACACACTATATGTGTACTGTATAAAGAATGATTAGGATCTTCTCAAGTGTCATGTCATAATAAGGGAATGAATGTGTGTATGGTATATATGTAGTCTATTATATAGAAAATAATACGTGTATGTGCTAGGATCTTCTCAAGTGTCAAATTCACTGCACAGACCCGAAATTAATCTCATCATTGAAATTCACTATAAAGACACTATTTAATTAAATTATACATTTCAATAATACTTTTTAGCTGAGATTTTATTAAATGGAGATGTCACCACTCACTAATCAAGAGAGAATCAAATAAACTCGTGATTCTCCTGGTAAATATTTTTTCTTAACTACGTGAATGGGAGTTAATTGGTCCATGCATGGATGAAATACGTATTAATTGATATAGAGATAAAATCAAAAGGGGATTTTTCTTCTCTTTTTATTTTCTAATAACAAAAGTGGATTTCTTAATCATATACACAAGTTGTCTAATAAAAACGCTCTTTAATTTGGGTTAATTAACAGGGTACGACTGGCAAAAACGGAAGCTAGACCCATCGATTATGAATGTAAAAGGTGGAAATGAGTTATTACCTCATCTTGTTCAGGTATTCATCCTTCTCTCTAGTACACTAGTTTCTCATCCAATATTCAAAGATTTTCACATAATTTTCTCGTCATTGCAAATTCAAATATATGTACCATGCATGCCTAAATGATAATATGATGCCCCCATTAATTTCAAAGGATTTTATTATCAAAAGCAAATGGATTTTAAGAGTTATATATATATATATATATATATAGTTACTTCTAACTTTGTCAAACATTTATGGAAAAAATTTAATATTACATTTTTAACAGATTTATTTGTCAACGTACTCTTTGTTATTAAAAAAAGAATATTAAATTGAGTAAGACTCGTTAAATAAACAATAAAATTATATCTTTTATTCATTTTTGACCCAATTATATCTTTTATTAAATCCACGAAGAACAAGCGTGTTAAAATACACATGACATTTATATAGTTATTAATTAAGCTCAATTTTTGCTGTCCAAAAAAACAAAAGCTCAATTTTTTATACAACATAATGCAGGTAACCATAAAATTAGACTCTGACTACAATTGCCAAGAATGTGATGTGAAGCCCATCAAGAAATGGAAGAAAGCCTCAGACTTTCCCGCTACAAATCCAGAGTTTTCCGGCAAGAAAAACAAATATCTATATGCAGCAACTACCTTAGGTTCTCGGAAAACATTGCCAAGTTTTCCTTTCGATACCGTTGTGAAATTAGATCTAGAAGGTGATTCTGCACAAACTTGGACAGCTGGAAGTAGAAGATTTATTGGGGAACCTATTTTTGTTCCCAAAGCCAAATGTCGCGGAGAAGATGATGGCTATCTTCTTGTTGTTGAGGTGAGTATCATACTAATATCTACAAAATTTAATACAAACATTGAGTTATAACGACTTGTACGCGCTCACCACACAGATTTCTAGTATTAGATAAATAGGTACAAATATTATGGTTACTAAAAAAATTACAAATTTAATTACATGCAATATTATAGGCATTGTTAATATTGTTCTCTAATTAAAATTCAAATTTTACATTGATAATTAATATTTATATTTAGTTGAATTATTTTTTATGTATATTATTCATATAAAAAATTTTAATTATGATTTAAGTACCTAAATTTTGTCTTATTTGTATTTGTCGAGTTCTTTGCCTCATATAGGCATCCATGTGCATAATATTCTCTTAAAATGGCAGGTATATTAGAATAAATTATAGATAACTTTCTAGCTTCATGACGGAATATACCATAAAGAGTGATTTAATGACAAAGACAAAGACAATATTTTATTTGTAATTAGTTGTAATCAGTCATAGATCATTGTGTCCATTAAAATATAAATTTATCTACATTCAAAACTAGTTTAATTATAATTTTTGTATTGACTAGTCGTTGCAAGAGGTTTATTTAGTATGTTGATGTTATGGCAGGTCCTTTTAATGGTAGTTTTTACCAGTTTATTTAAATATAAAATAGTACAAGTTTCGTTAAGAAATTATTGCATATGAAAGCAATTATGTTAAATTTAGTGAGAAAGAAAATTTACGAGTCTTAACAATTAAAATGTCTTTATCTTCTTTCTGTAAAATTATTTTGAAAGAGAGCTTTTTTTTTCTTCAATTGGAACACCATTAAATTAAAGGTGCTCTACTATAAAACATATTTAGTTTTTTATGATGATGACATATTGACATAAATTATTTGTTTTGCAGTATGCTGTTTCAATGCATAGATGTTACCTCGTTATCTTGAACCCAAAAAGGATAGGAGCAGATAATGCCCTTGTTGCAAGACTTGAAATTCCAAGCCACTTGAATTTTCCTCTAGGTTTTCATGGTTTCTGGGCACCTAACTAGCTGAAACACAAAATTAAATTGTTACTGTGGTGTAAATTTTCTTTCGTAGTGAAAATAAATTAATTATATTCAATGCTCTTACAATTGATTGTGTAGTTATTTTATTATATACAATAGTATTTAATTATTTATTGATTATTGATACATGCTTGTAAACTTTTATGTATTGAGCTAGCTATAGTAAGTTGTAATGAAAAAAAAAAAAAGTAAATTGTCTATTTGTATAAATACTTGCAGTCAAAAAAAGTAAGTTGTAATCATTTAATAAAATCCGTTTACAATATAATCCAAGAAGAACCGTTTTCCGCCCAAATTTCATTTCAAATGCAATCAATAATAGGTTTTGGTAACACAATACGATAATAGTATGATTTCTCGTTTATAGTTAACCATTATTTTACATTAATGAAAGCTTTTAAGATTGAAAATAAATAATATTCATAAAAATTCTCAAGTAACACTATAAAAATATAAATCTTATATAAATTATATACATGAATAAAATAAGCAAGAAAAAAATAACAAAAATATATTAGATAATTTTTATAATCATGTGATGGAAGAAGCTTGTAGGGGTGATTGTTGTTCTCCTTCAATCTCCATCTTCAACGTCCAATCATTCTCTTGAGGTCTTCAAAGGCGTTTCACGGAAGCAAATCAAGCTTCAAAAGATTGATGGAAGCTACTCTTGGTGGCTCGTTTTCTTCTTGAAGAAGAAGAAGATGAACCAAGGTACAAAGGAGGAAGTCTTTTGTGAAGGTTCTCAAGGAGAGAAAGTTTCTCCACGGATTAGACTCTTGAAATGAGAGAATTTCTTAATTCTAGTTCTCATAAATGTTCAAAAGTGATTACAAATTATAGGAATAGGTTTATATATATAGAGTAGGGAAGCTTGTGGAGCAAGCTAAGCTTAACCATGGTTCAAGAGAACCATGGTTGGCTTAGCTTGATCGTCCACCATGGTTTGGGAGGCTTGTGGAGCAAGCTTCTAATTTAGTAGCTTGGGAAGCAAGTTAACTTAGAAGCTTGTAACACAAGCTTCCCAAAGGTACCAAAGGTAAGAAGCAAATCTAGCCAAAGAGATGACTAGGCGGCCTTAAGCTTATTTTCCATATTTGTCCGATCCAAATAATTTGAAATTGGTTTAGTTAGGTTCACCAAATGTTGTGAGACCTAGCTAAATCAATTCCTTGGAAAATATGAAGCAAAACAAGCCCAATATGTAAAAATTGGCCTAGGCCCAACTTTGACTCATTTACTAGTTACACCCTCATACCTTGCTAATTGTCACCCCACTTCTACCACTGAAAAATGTAAAATGAGTGACCTTAATACAAGGTCAAATGAAGCAAAAGTATCCAAAGAACCTACCCTAAATACATAATAGAATAGTCTATAAAGAAAGAAATAAAGTGTCTCACAAATACAAAGGCAAAAATGAACCTATACAAGAAACTATGTACAAATGAACTAAGGCCTTCTCTTTAAGATATGGTGGTCCATGTGAAGATTACCTTGGGCTTAGAGAGCCCACTAACCTTCAAGCTTTCCAACCCTTCCTGAATGCTCCTTGCCATAGCTTTGGTAATTGGGCCCTTAGCCCATGGTCCATCATCCCCTCCCTCTTGAGGTGGATTTGTCCTCAAATCTGTAGACTCAACCTCCTCCTCATCATAACCTGCAACAAGAATAAGATCACTTATATTAAAAGTATTACTTACTCCATAATCTCATGGAATGCCTAGCTTATAAGCATTGTCATTGATCCTTTGAAGGACTTGAAAAGGACAAGCTCCTCTTGGACTGAGTTTAGACTTCCTTTGAGAAGGAAACCTTTCCTTTCTCAAGTGAAGCCAAACCCAATTACCCTCCTCAAATATAAGGGTTTTCTTGCCTTTGCCTCTTTCAAAGGCATATCTCTCATTTTGTTGTTGTATATGATCTCTAACCCTCTCATTCAATTTCTTTACAAAATTAGCCCTAGATACCTCTTCTTTATGAAAGTAATGGGAATAATCAGGTAAGGGTACTAGATCCAAAGGTGTAAGAGGGTTAAAACCATAAACAACCTCAAAAGGTGCAATTTCGGTAGTCTTATGAACTACCCTGTTGTAGGCAGATTCTATATGAGGCAAGTATTCATCCCAAGACTTGTGGTTTCCTTTCAGGACTACCCTTAACATGGTAGATAGGGACCTATTAAATACTTCAGTCTGCCCATCAGTCTAGGGATGACAAGTAGTTGAGAAAAGTAATTTAGTTCCTAGTCTACTCCAAAGAGTTTTTCATAAATGACTAAGGAACTTTGTGTCCCTATCTGACACAATGGTTTTGGGTAGACCATGAAGTCTAACCACTTGAAGAAAAGTTTTGCTATGTTGCTAGCATCATCTATCTTGTGGCAGGGAATAAAATGAGTCATTTTACTAAACTTTTCTACTACCACAAAGATAGAATCCATGCCTCTCTAGGTCCTGGGCAAGCCCAATATAAAATCCATGCTTATATCAACTCATGGAGAGTTAGCAATAGGTAAGGGTGTGTAGGAGCCATGAGGCATTACTTTAGACTTTGCTTGTAAACAAGCTATACATCTAGAGCAAAACCTCTCAACATCCTTTCTCATGTAGGGCCAAAAGAATTTTTCTTTTAATAAACTTAGAGTCTTCTCAACTCCAAAGTACCCCATGAGACCACCCTCATGACTTTCTTTTACAAGGAGCTTTCTTGTAGATCCTTGGGGTATACAAATTTGTCCTTCTCTATATAAGTACCCCTCAAAAACATAGAAACCTCCTTGAGGCTTAAGCAAACATTGGGTAAATGTATCATGAAAATTATCCATTGGTATACAACTCCTTAATGTGATCAAATCCCAAGATTTGGGATCCAAGGGAGACTAGTAAAGTATGTCTCCTTGAGAGGGCATCAGTAACAATATTATTTTTACCCTTCTTGTATTTGATCACATATGGGAATTATTCCAAGAACTCTACCCATTTAGCATGCCTCTTATTAAGTATGCCTTAACCCCTCAAATATTTTAGTGACTCATGGTCACAATGAATGACAAACTCCTTGGGCATAAGGTAATGTTCCCAAGTTTGAAGGGCTCTAACCAAAGCATAGAGCTCTTTGTCATAAGTAGGGTAGTTAAGGGAGGCGCCTTTTAATTTTTTACTGAAATAAGCAATTGGGTGCCCACCCTGTAACAGAACTGCCCCTATGCCAACCCTAGAGGCATCACATTCTAGCTCAAAAGTCTTAGAAAAATCAGGCAAAGCTAAAAGTGGTGCATGGGTGAGCTTATCCTTTAAAGTTAGGAAGGCTCTCTCTTGTTTCTCTCCCCATTGAAACTTTACATTTTTCTTTACTAATTCATTTAATGGGGAGGCAAGTGCGGAGAAATTAGGAACAAATTTCCTATAGAAGCTTGTCAACCAATGGAAGCTCTTAATATTTCCAACACTTTGAAGTGTGGGCCATTCTTGGATGGCCTTGATTTTCTTGGGGTCCACATGAACCCCTTTTATACTAATTATAAAACCTAAAAATACAACACTATATATCTACACAAAGGGTACATTTTGCTAAGTTTCCAAAAAGATGGTTTTTCCTAAGTATACTAAAGACTTGCGTTAAGTGTCCTATGTGATCACTTAGGCACCTACTATATATTAGGATATCATCAAAATAAACTACTACAAATTTTCCTATGCAATCCCTTAGGACATGATTCATGAGACGCATAAATGTACTAGGAGCATTGGTAAGCCCAAAGGGCATAACCAACCATTCATATAGTTCAAACTTGGTCTTAAAAGCGATTTTCTATTCATCACCTTCTTTAATTCTAATTTGATTATAACCACTTTTAAGATCAACTTTAGAAAATATAAGGGTTCGATGAAGTTCGTCTAGCATATCATCAAGCCTAGGGATATGATGTCTATATTTTATAGTGATGTTGTTGATGGCTCTACTATCACATCACATTCTCCACTTTCCATCTTTCTTTGGAACCAACAACACTGGAACAACACAAGGACTTAAGCTCTTTCAAACCCAGCCTTTCTCCAACAACTCATAAACTTGAGACTCTATTTCTTTAGTCTCTTGGGGATTTATCCTATAAGTTGGCCTATTGGGTAGGTTAGCTCCAAGGACAAGGTCAATTTGATGCTTTATCCCTCTAACAGGAGGAAGGCCCATAGGACCTTCAGGAGAAAATAGATCATCAAATTCTTTTAAAAGATTTTTGACCCCTTTAGGTAGAGTCTCACTTCCATTAATTGTGGTAGTGCAAGTGAGAGTCCCTCTACAGAGAAGGATAAAAGAAGGTTGTTCAATCAAGAGGTTTTGTTTTGAAATTGCATTCTCTTGATGAATAACTTCTAGGGAAGGGACTCCTTTGATGGAGACCTCCCTTCCATGGTTGATAATGGTGTGTTGAAGAGGGTCACCTTGCCCATGATTTAGGCTCATCTAAGGGGAAAAGATATGTGGATGTTAGGGTGAAGGATGATTTTGGATGTAAAGATGATGAAGGGTGTAGGTGAGGTGTATGGATGCTCAAGTAAGGTTGGCTCACTCCAAGTGAAAGTGGAGTCCACTCTAGGGTTTCACTCTCCAAGGGTGGAGAATGAAGGTGGTTAGCTGAAGTTAACCTAGTGACTAAGGAAGAGATGTTGAGGCAAATAATGCTCACTCAATATCATATAATCCAAAGTATTTACAAGGTGTGGTGCATTGGGTATTTATAGGAGTGGGAGGCATCTAGGGTTGCATTTGGAGAATGCATGGCCGAAATTGACAAGGCAAATGCACTCCAAATGAAATGCAAATTAACCCTAGATGCAACTTGGTGGCCAAGGATGGAATGTTTAGGTTTAGATTGGCTATATCTAGGTGCATGATAAGACCATGCAACCTTTGCCCTCCACTTGGGCCTAAGTCTTCCTAACACCAAAAATAGGTCCAAGAACACCAAAAAAATTTGTCACCTCCTATTTTAAAACCCTAGCCCAAAATAAAAATCCTAATCATCTAGAGCACCTCATAATACAAGGGTAAAATGGAAAATAGAAAAAAAACATAAATCCTATAACTAAGATACCCGAAAATACAAGGGTAAAATTGGAAATACAAGTAAAATAAATTCTATGACTAAAATACCCCAAAGTACAAGGGTAAAATTGGAATAAAGCAATA